CTGCGTAAGGAGGAGCGGCCAGGGCCCGGGCCTGGTGAGGTGCGGATCGCTTTCCGTATCTCCAATGGCCGAGAGCCCCGTTCACCAGATGGCAGTTTACCTACTTGGAGCGGAGGCCGGCCTGGTAGTCCCTACTCTGGTAGTCCTGGGCCTGGGGCTCGAGCCAAAGACAAAATCACTTGCGACTTGTACCAGCTCATCAGCCCCTCCAGGGATGCCCTTCCCAGCAACATGGAGTTCCTGCTGGCCAGGGCAGACGAAGCCAGTGAAGGGGAGACGCCAGCCCCGGCCAGGCCTGAGGATGCGCCCCCAGCACCCCCTCCACCCCCTGCCCGAGACTGTGGAGCATCAGGATTCCATGTGGATGTGGTGGTGACGGGGGTAGTGGACGAGTGCATCTTCTTTGGCAAAGATGGCACCAAGAACGTGAAGGAAGAGACTGTCTGCTTGACAGTGAGCCCGGAGGAGCCACCACCCCCTGGTCAGCTCTTCTTCCTCCAGTCCCGGGGTCCAGAAGGGCCCCCCGAGCCACCCCCAGCGGATACCCCAAGCACAGTGCCAGGCCCTGACGATCCTGAGGGCACAGCAGACACCTCCCTGTGCCGCCTGTACCGGCACGTGTCACATGACTTCCTGGAGATTCGCTTCAAGATCCAGCGTCTTCTGGAGCCGCGGCAGTACATGCTGCTGCTGCCTGAGCATGTGCTGGTCAAGATCTTCAGCTTCCTGCCCACCCGAGCCCTGGCAGCCCTTAAGTGCACCTGCCACCACTTCAAGGGCATCATCGAGGCTTTTGGTGTGCGCGCCACGGACTCACGCTGGAACCGGGACCCGCTCTATCGCGATGACCCTTGTAAGCAGTGCCGCAAGAGATACGAGAAGGGCGATGTGTCCCTGTGCCGCTGGCACCCCAAGCCCTACCACCATGACCTGCCTTACGGACGCTCCTACTGGATGTGCTGCCGCAGAGCTGATCGCGAGACCCCGGGCTGTCGCCTGGGCCTGCACGACAACAACTGGGTGCTGCCGTGCAGTGGAGTGGGTGGGGGCCGGGCCGGCCGGGAGGAGGGGAGGTGAAGCCCGGGGTGAGGGGACACCCGCCGTACCTAAGCCCTTCCTGCTTTGCTGGGCGCTGGGGACCAGGAATGAGTCACCAGCCAACACCTACAGTCCATCCAGCGTTGATCTCCCCTAGAACTGGGACCAGGTTTGGGGGTTGACGGGGTAAATGCCCCGGTTGACCCCTGTTGGTTTTTTACTCTTCAGAGCCAGGGCCATGGACCCTCAGAGAGGGTTGTGTTTTGTTGTTTTTTATGAGCATCTCAGTTGCGCCTCCATCAAGCCCTAAGCCCACCCCTGAGTCTGTCCACCCCAGGGACCCACCAGCAGGGAGCAGACGGCAGCTAATTTTGGTACCACCTGAGGCTTTTCCTCAAGCTGGCCCTCCCCATTGTGTGCCCCCCAGTTCTTTGTCTGTGGGGCTGTGTCCACCCGAAGGGCTGCAGTCTCGGAGGTTGACGCCCCAGGCCGTTAGCTTGCAACTCCATTTGGCACTTTCTGGAGGCAGCCCACCATTTCTAGATGTTTTCCTCGTTAAATAATGATTTCTTCCCAACTACCAGTCTCCCTCTCCCCACAGGGAAAGTGAAACCCCTGCAAGTGTAGAGACCCCTCTTCAAGCTCTTGTCACTGACTCCCAAGTAAAGCTGTGAAGCCCCTTGCCTCAGAGGGCAAGGACAGTGGGTCTCAATTTCTAGGGAATTCTTCCTTCCACTTGGGGTTCTCAGTGAGGCATTTGGGTCTCTGCCCCCCACAAGCCACAAGTTTCTTAAGGATCTTTTGGTTAACTGGGGCCGTGATTTTTAGGCAGTTTGGTCCAAGATTTTTTTTTTTTTAATTTATTTTTGTTTTTTGAAGGCATGGTTTCTCTGTGTAGCCCTGGCTATCCTAGAACTTACTCTGTAGACCAGGCTGGCCTCAAACTCAGAGATCTGCCTGCCTCTGCCTCCTGAGTGCTGGGATTAAAGGCATGGGCCACCACCACCCAGCAATCCAAGATTTTATTTGGGTTTTTTCCTCTTTTGGGGTGTTTTGTTTTCTCATTCATTGTGGTTCTGGAAGCTTCTAGTGTGTGGCATCTGACCAATTTTGAATTGGTCCTTTCTATAAAATCAATATTTATAAAGGAGGGCCAGACTGGTCTGTGTGATGTTAAGGGAAGGGATTTGGTAACAGAAGAGACCCACAGCCTGTGCTTGGCAGGGTGGGATGGGAAAGGAGGAGAAGGGGCCCTGCTTCTTTAGGAGTCCAGCATCAGGTGAGTTTGGGGCCTCGGGTCACCGTTGTGTGGTGCTTTGGCAGTGGTCCTCATTGCTGTGGTCTATGACTGCAGGAATTCCTGCTGCCCCTGTGGTACGGGAAGGGAAGTCCCCTTCATGGTGGAGCTGCTGCACAGACACTGAATACCTCTCAATCCATCAGAACTTCCCAGATACACTGGGGATGGGACCCAAGTTAAAACCATAGGCTCTTTCATTCTCGGTATCATTTTGTGCACATGTGTGTGATGTGATGCATGGGTGGTAGTTGTGGAATATTTGTTTAATGATGCAAAGATGTGCTGCATTCTTTTATGTTGCATTTGTTTAACACTGTGAAGCTGTGTTACTGTGCCTGTCTAAAACACCTGATTGGTCTAATAAAGAACTAAATGGCCAATAGCTAGGCAGGAGAGGGACAGGCAGAGCTGCCAGGCAGAGAGAATAAATAGGAGAAAAAGAATGAGAGAGGGTGAGGGGTGAGGGGAGGACACCATGGTCCAGCCATACAAACAGCCACGAAGTAAGAAGGAAAGAAAAGTATATAGAATAGAGAAAGATAAAAGCCCAGAGGCGAAACATAAAAGAGAAACAGGTTAATTTAATAAAAGCTGGCTAGAAACAAGCCAAGCTAAGGCCGGGCATTCGTAAGTAATAAGTCTCTGTGTATTTATTTGGGAGCTGGTGGCTGCCCCCCAAAGAGTTCTTTATTAGACCAATCAGGTGTTTTAGAAAAGCACAGGAACACAGCTTCACTGAGTTAAATAAGAATGCAACAAACAGATACTCCACAGCATAAACAAATCTTAAATATTCATAACAGGTAGTGCAGGTGCACACAGGACACAGCACTAACATGCAGGTCTCTCCTCCCACTGTAGGCTCTAGGGATCGAGCTGAGGTCATCAGGCTTACGCAGCAAGTGCTTCTACCCACTGAAGCCTTTTCACAGGCCTGTAAAATTCATTTCACAACACCTTATACATATAATCGAATGAATTTGTGCGTGTGTGTGTGTTGCTGAGGATGGAACCCAAGATCACATGTGCTAGGCAAATGCTCTACCACTGAGCCACACCCCCAGCCCCTCACTGGGGGATTCTAGGCAGGGGCTCTACCACTGAGCCATACCCCAGCCCCTCACTGGGGGATTCTAGGCAGGGGCTCTACCACTGAGCCACACCCC